TATAAGGACAGCAGAACATGTTTGACCAGTACAGGACATGTTTGAGGACAACAGGATAGTGCAGGAATGTGCTGTAGGAGTGACAGATAACTTCAAGATGGAGGTGATACTGCATCAAGGGTCAGCTCTGAGCTCATTCTTGTTTGCTCTGGAGATGGACAGACTTAACAAATTAGGTCAGGCAGGAATCCCTAAGGGCTATGATGTTTGCAGATTGTGATCTGTGGTGAGAACAGGAAACAGGTGGAAGAGATCACAGATAAGTAGATATGCACTTGAAAGTTGAGGAATGAATGCCAAACGTAGTAAGACAAAGTCCGTGTGTGTGATTGAGAAGGAGGCAGGTTTCCACTTCACTGTTTCAGCCTCACTGTTCCCTGTGAGGCTACAAGGGGCAGAGGACACACTGCTAAGATCATTATTATACATTGCCTTGCACTTTGAAGTCAAAACAATTCCAGTGGGTATAATACTGTTTAATCCTATATCGTTGTCAAGAGGACATGAAAGTAGTTAGAGTGAGAACAGAGGACACAGAGGACTGAGTGAGATGAAGGAGGATGACTGGCTGTGCAGACCGCTGAAGTGGGAATAGCCAAAAACAAGAAGAAGAATTTTACACAACTTAGCAACACTGCTTCCTCACAACAGAACCATATTTGGGAGCACGCTGTATTTCAGATGTGTGTTTTAACCAAGGTTCACAGGCACATTCAAGTCTTATTTTTCTCAAGTAATGTTTCTTTTAATATATTTTTTTTCTGGTATGCGAACGAGCCACCATCAGCATACAGAATAGTCACTATTAGGTAATTTTGTTAGTTGTAAACTGAATCTATTTTGTAGGTATTTTTAGAAACAGTCAGTCTCACAAAACAGCCTCTGTTGGAACAATTTTTTTTATTTTTTTCTTGATTATTTCAGGAGGAAGAAGTTTCTCCGCAACTGTTCACCTTCCATGAAGTTGTTTCTCAGCTGGTGGAGATGGAGGAGCAGGTGTTGGAGGACCACAGAGTGGTGTTTCAGGTATAGCAGTACAGACATTTCAAGCTTGGACTAACAAACCAAATAACTAAAATATCCGTGCATCAAAATGAATCATTTGTATTTACAGACTAAATAGAAGGGGATTTCAGGGGAATGTCAAACTTGACTAGATATATTGTATAATTACTGCATCTTGACTTTGGGGGTTGATAAAAAAGTTGACATATCTTTGTAAGGTTTGAACAGCATTGTGTTGTTTCCAGGAATCAATCCGCTGGTTGGAAGATGAGAAGGTGCTTTTAGAAATGACGGAAGAAGTAGACTATGATGTTGAATCATATGCAACTCAACTGGAACAGATCCTAGATCAGAAGATAGACATTCTCACTGAGCTCAGAGGTAAAGGTCCATCTTTCAGCCACTGATTGCTCAGGCTCATTCTAACATGTTTTTTCATTGTTAATTAGCATTCATCTAAACCCCTAAATGATCATAAAGAACGATAAGTAAGCTAGTATTCAGAAAGAACAAAAAAAAATTAATCTAGACCTCAAATTGGCATGAAGTCAAGGTCAAGTAGGTGTTAAAGAAAAACTACAAAGACACCAACACATAAAATGGTAAATGGTAAATGGTAAATGGACTGTACTTATATAGCACCTTTCTATCTTATTTCAAGATACTCAAAGCGCTTTACACAAAACATAAAGGTCAAAGGTGTGGTATATGGCATAATTTCCCATTGATTGGACTTTAAGGAACAACAAGGTTTCTGACTACAATATAACATCTTTGATGGAAAGCGAATCATTTGGCCAATCACGATCAAGATAGACGATAGGGAAATCTTTTCCATGGATGAAGGAAACTGGTTTACATTATAGCAAGTCACATGTTGGACACTGTTAGTTTTGAGGTAAATCTTGTTATATACCAATAGGATAATATGCTGTGTAAGTTAAACTTGATTTGACAAAAAAAATCTTATTTAGCAGCATTGTGCATGGTAATCCATTACCTTATACACCATTAAATAGCTAATTGAACAAATTATTCTGAAGAAACTAGTCAGTGCATTTGGATCACATTCATACACTGATGGGACACATATCAGAGGCAATGAGGGGTTCATTGTCTTGCCCAGTGATACTTCAACATGTGACTGCTGGTGGAATCAAACCACAACCCTCGCATTGGAGGATGATTGCTCTAACCACTCACCCACATCTGTCCAATGAATGCAGAATGCCAATGAATGCCAATGCAAAATGAAGAAGGGGAAGGCAATAGCGCCTGATGACATGCAAGTGGAGGTTTGGAAATGTCTAGGAGAGATGGCAGTGAAGTTTTTGATTCAAATATTCAATGGCATATTTGAGGGTGAGAAAATGCCTGTGGAAGGGAGGAGAAGTGTGCTGGTGCCCATTTAAAACAAAAGGGTGATGTACAAAGTTGTAGCAACTACAGGGGAATTAAGTTGATGAGTCATACAATGAAGATCTGAGAGAGAGTTGGGGAAGCTAAACTTAGATAAGTGGTGACTATATGTGAGCAGCAGTATGGTTTCATGCTGAGAAAGAGCACCACAGATGCACTATTTGCTTTGAGGATGCTTATGGAGAAATACAGAGAGTGTCTGAAAAGAACTTTGTTGCGTCATTGTTGATTTAGAAAAAGCATATGACAGAGTGCCTAGGGAGGTGTGGTATTGCACAAGGAAATCTGGAGTGGCAGAGAAGTATGCTAGACTGGTACAGGACATGTATGAGGACAGCAGGACAGTGGTGAGATGTGCTGTAAGAGTGACAGATAGCTTCAGGATGGAGGTGGGATTGCATCAAGGATTGGCTCCGAGCCCACTCGTTTGCTCTGGTGATGGACCAATTAACAATTAAGGTCAGGCAGGAATCTCCGTAGACTGATGTTTGCAGATGACAATGTGAGATGTGGTGAGAGCAGTGAACAGGTGGAAGAGAACTTAGACAGGTGGAGGTATGCACGTGAATGAATTGGAATGAAAGTCAGCTGTAGTAAGACAGAATACATTTGTGTCAATGAGAGGGAGGCAGGTGAGGCTACAAGGAGCAGATGTCACAAAGGTGCATGACTTCAAGTACTTGGGGTCCACTGTCCAGGAAAATGGGGAATGTGGTAAAGAGGTGAAAAGAGTCCAGGCAGGATGGAGTGAATGGAGAAAGGATTCAGGAGTTATTTGTGGCAAAAGAGTGGCAGCAAAGGTAAAAAAAAAAAGTTTACAAAACACTGGTGAGACCAGCTATGTTGTATGGTCTGGAGACAGAGGCACTGACAAAAAGACAGGAGAAAGAACTGGAAGTGGCAGAAAAGAAGATATTGAGGTTCTTCTTAAAAGTTATGAACATAATCTGTGACAACAGGCAGCCTTGGTGAAGTCCAGCTCCCACCCTGAAGGGGTCTGACTTACTACCGGCAATGTGATGTGATGCCAGCCGCCTGATGGTTTGCCAGGACCTCCTTGGAGTAGACATAGAGTCTTTGTCCGAGGCCTTACCAAACTTCTCCCAGATCCAAGCTTTTGCCTCAGCAATAGCCACAGCTGCAGACCACTTGGCCCTCCAGGACTCCTTAGGTGCCTTCGGAGTCCCATCAGCCAACAAGGCCCAATAGGACTCCTTCTTTCGCTTGACAGCCTCCCTAAAGTGGGGTGTCCACCACAGAGTTCGAGGATGGCCACCACAATAAGCTTTGTTAAAGAAATTAGGTCTCTCTTTTAAATAAGTCTCTAAAGCTCAATAGGATTAACCTGTATAAATAAAGGTTGAATGAAAAAGAAGCATCGACAACCTTGCGTCCACAGCTCAAGGCAGCTATGTCAACAATTGAGGCGTGGAGCATGGCCCACTTGGACTCTATGTCCCTTGCCTCATCTGGGATGCAGTTAAAGCTCTCCTGGAGGTGCGAGTTGAAGATCTTTCTGATGGATTCTTCTGCCCAACGTTCCCAGCAAACCCTCACTACATGTTTGGGTCTACTGAGTCTGTTCGGCATCTTCCCCCACCATCTGATCCAATTCACTACTAGGTGGTGATAAGTTGACAGTTCAGCTCCTCCTTTCACCCGAGTGTCCAAAACAAACGACTGCAAATCAGATGACATGATTACAAAGTCAATCATCAATCTATGACCAAGGACGTCCTGATGCCAAGTGCACTTTTGGACACCCTTATGTTCGAACATGGTGTTTGTGATGGACAAACTATGACAAGCACAGAAGTTCAACAACAGAACACTGTTTGAGTTCAGATCAGAGAAGCCGTTCCTCCCAATCATGATAAATGGACTGTACTTATGTAGCACCTTTCTATCTTATTTCAAGATACTCAAAGCGCTTTACACCACAATCTGTGTCCTCATTTACCCATTCATACAACACTCTACTAGATCTCTACAAAGCTAATTGAACAAATCATTCTAAAGAGACTAATCAGTGCTTTATCACATTCATACACTGATGGGACATACATCAGAGGCTATGAGGGATTCAGTGTCTTGCCCAGGGACACTTCGACATGTGACTGCTGGTGGATTCGAACCCCAAACTCTCGCATTGGAGGACGACTGCTCTAACCACTCAGCCACAGCCGTCTCATGCCCCTCCAGGTTACACTGTTGTTACCCACATGGGCATTGAAGTCCCCCAGCAGAATAAAGGAGCCCCCAGCTGGTGCACCTTCCAACACCCCCACCAAGGACTCCAAGAAGGTTGAATACTTAACTTCTGTTTGGCACATAGGCACAAACAACAGTCAGAGCCTGTTTGCCCACCTGAAGGTGCAGGGAAGCTACCCTTCCATCCACCAGGGAAAACTCCCACACACAGGGACCAAGTCGGGGGGCTAAAAGTAGACCCACACCAGCTCGGCGCCTCTCACCATAGGCAGCTCCAGAGTGGTATAAAGTCCAGCCCCTCTCAAGGAGGTTTGTTCCGGAGCCCATACAGTGCGTCGAGGTGAGCCCAACTATATTTAGTCGGTACCTCTCAACCTGATGCACAATCTCAGGCTCCTTTCCTACCAGAGAGGTTATGTTCCATGTCCCAAGCGTCAGCTTTGGTAAGCCAAGATCAGAGCGCCAAGGTTCCCACCTTCAGCCACTGCCCATAGCGTCTTGCACCCAACTTGTAGTGCCCCTCCTGTAGGTGGTACGCCCACAAGAAGGCAAACCCATGTTGTTCCTTTGGGCTTAGCCTGACCGGGCCCCATGGGTAGAGACCAATAGTCACCAGACACTCGCCGACAAGTCCCTCCCCCAGGCCTGGCTCCAGGGTAGGGCCCCGGTAACCCTCATCCGGTCAAGGGGCACTGAGTTCCTTGTTCCTTTTTATCCATAAATGTCTTTTGAGTCGCTCTTTATCTGGCCTTTCACCTAGAACCTATCTGCCTTGGGAGACCCTACCAGGAGCAATTACAATGTCCCCAACAGCATAGCTCCTAGTATCCTTCAGGCACACAAAATCCTCCACCACAATAAGGTGGCAATACAAGGAGGAGTTTAATGGAAGAACCCAGTTTTTCAAAGACACCTTTCTTACACATAGATGCAGGCACACACCAAATTGGAATCCTCTACCTCATTTGTTTTTCAAATAATCCAGCTCACAGCAAGGGTAGATGTATAGATGATCTTTCCAATATACCATTTTTGCTCTGCCACAAGGAATACAAACAACCACTACCACAGTATGCCTCTAAATCCCTAACTCTACAAGACAAGCTAAACACAAGAAAATTATATCAGAAGAAATCAATAACTACCAAGACACTTTAATTATCACATAAATTTAACAGATATTAATAAAAGACAAACGTTTAAAATATTATTGTGGCCACACTGCCGTATCGCAATATCAAGATTCTATAACCAAACCACCAAACCACTGTTTGTGATGAGAAACAATTTGGTATTTTCAGGTTGGAGAAAGGTGTCCTATAACAACTGTGTGATGGTTTCTCTTCTTTTAGATAAAGTCAAGTCTTTCCGATGTGCTCTCCAAGAAGAGGAACAAGCTAGCAAACAAATAGCCCCCAAAAGACCTCGAGTACTTTAGACACTTGACAGCCAATGTTTCTTTGTGATCGTGACTTGTCCTCAGAATGAGGCGGGTCTGTCATGATGAGATCTGTAGCTGTGATTTTTATGACTCTGCCATATGTGTTCAACTTCCCATCATGCATCTGTCCTATGGAAAACTAAAGGGACGATCACCATTGCTCTTTCATCAACAAGGTGTATTTTATGTCACAAGTGCTTTGTTTAACAAATGTGAATACAGTAGTCCCTCGCTACTTCACGGTTCACGGGGGGTGAGGGAAAGTGTGTGTTTTTAAATTTTTTAATGAACCACAGGTTTGAATGAGGCAAAGCCCAATTCTAATCTTACATGGCATTAACTATTAACCAAGCTAAATGGTGAATTGCAGTCAAAGTTTTCTAGGTGACAATTATAAAAACAAGTTATTCATTTGCCAAAATAAAGACTATTTCTGGTTGCTGTTTGTGTTTTTATTTAATCAGGGTGATATAAAGAGGTTTGCATGGTGCAATACTCTTTAGAAATACAGTGGATAAAAAATGTCTGCACACCTCTCTTAACCCTTGGAAGACCTTGTAGGGAAAATCACTCACATATTTCCTTTTTTCTGACAAAGCCTAAAAAAATCTTGTTTTTCTTTTTTTTTTTTTTTTTTATCAGAATTTTTTCTGTTACACAAGTTTCTATCACAAATTGTGAGTTTTGATTGTATTATCTGTGTTTCTTTGAGAACTTTATTTTTGAGGTTTGTTTCTGTTCAATTATAAAATACATTTATATTTTTTATGTGAACTCCTTGTGTTTGCCTGCATCTGGGTCCAACCTTACTGCAACCTTACTTGCAGTTACCTTCATACAGACGAACATGTCGTACTTCCTATTTATCACTGTAAAATTCAGCTGATCATGGGGTCGGCCACCAGCCTTTATCCATCTTTTATATTTTTCCAGATTCTGTTTTGGTTTTAGAAACAATAAACTGTATTCATCCTCTAAACACTCAGTGTAACATGGTCTGAATTGCATGTGTCCCACTGACAACATTTAACCATTTTTTCTGATGATTTTCCACGAAATTCCAAAGACCGAAAAACATTTGTAATGCAAAACCCCGACAATGTTGTCGTAAGAAAAGGGGTGGAGCTCCTGCAGATAAGGAGCGTTTCACTTCAGGACAAATTGAGGTTGCCAATTGGTCAGTTGCTGACGAGCCTAATGAAATGATTGACAGATGGCGTTTAAGATCCAATTCCTGCAAAACAATCATAGATTTTACTGTCCTCTTCAAGTGTCACCATTTATTCCATATTTATTCCATATTTATTCAATATTTTGTTGAATCTAATGTTTTAGAACTGAGTTTCCTTACAAAATCGTAATGATGGTTTCTTAATTTTTCAGGGGTGCTGAGTTAAAATTTAGGGGTGCTTGAGTACCCCCAAAAGAGGCTAAACTCACCACTGGCTCCAGCTCCTGCCACAGTGACCTGTTCCTCATTGTCTTTCCCCAGGTGTTTGTCATTGTGTCTTGTTAATGTCCTTTTAAGTTCTGCTTCTTTGTGTTTTCACGTTGTCTATGTCTATTGCTCATCACCTGTCACATTCTGTTCCTTGTGTTTCCCTGTACTCACGTAAGTTTTGCTGCCATCTAAGCTGTTGTTTTGAGTTTCTTTTAATAAATTGATATTCTTTATTTATATTTGAGTTCCCGTGTATGTCTGCATTCGGGTTCAGCACCATACTGATTGTGACAGATTCTATTTAATTTCATTTCATTAGGTTTAAGCTAATGAAGTGTGCCATAACAAATTCTTTCCTGAATTAGCAAGGCTTCAGAGTGAGTCACAAGTAAAGTCCATCCATCCATTTTCTTTACCCGCTTATTCCATTTTGGGTCACGGGGGTCGCTGGTGCCCATGTCCAGCAACCACTGTGTGAGGGGCGGGGTACACCCTAGACAGGTCGCAAGTCCATCACAGGGACACATAGAGACAAACGAGACAAACAACCATTCACTCTCTCACTCACACCTAGTGACAATTTAGAGTTACCAATCAGTCTAACATGCATGTTTTTTGGTCTGTGGGAGGAAACCGGAGTACTCGGAGAAAACCCACGCATGCACGGAGAGAACATGCAAACTCCACCCAGAAAGGCCCCTGGACCGGGGTTTGAGCCAAAGACCTGCTCGCTGGGAGGCAGCAGCTCTACCAGTTGCACCACCGTGCTGCCCACCAGTAAAGTCACTCGCCCTTAATGACACAAGACTCCGTATGCTCTTCACTGAAATCTGTGCTTTGACACAGGAGGACCTGTCACTACTTTTGAGTTTCAGTCTGCACCCTGATTTCAACCCCACCCTAGACATTATACTTTCATCTGTACATCTAATGATTCATTTTTGGAGTCAACTAGTAGCGATTTTAGCCTTTTTTGGGGGGTGCTCAAGCCCCACTAAATTTTAGCTCAGCATCCCTGAAAAACAAATAAATCATAAATACAATTTTATAAGGAAGTTTAGTTCTCAAATCTTAGATTCACCAAAATATTTAATAAATTTTAAATAAATGTGGAATAAATATGACACTCTAAAATGTGCCAGTAAAATCTATGAATTTTTTGCACAAGTCGGATCCTCAATGTCATCTGTCAATCAATGCCGCAGGCTCGTCAGCCACTGACCAATCAGTGATCACAGTTTGTCCCAAAGTGAAAAGCTGCTTACCTGAAGGAGCTGCAATCATTTTTTTCTCCAATAATATTGTTGGGATTTTGCATTACAAACACCTTGTGGTCAGAGGGATTTAGTGAAAAATCATCAGGAAAAAAATGGTTAAATGTTGTCAGTGGAGAACATGTAACTCAGACAGCATTACGCTGAGCGTTTACAGCGTGGAATAGTTTATTCCATTTCAAAAACCTAAACGGAAATTGGAAAAATGTAAAGGATGGATAAAGGCTGGTGGTCCACCCCCAGTGGTGGAGAAAGTACTCAAACACTGTACTTAAGTAAAACTACACATAAACAGACCAAAATGTACTCTACTAAAAGTAGAAGTACCAAATTAATGTTTTACTTAAATAAATAAGTACTTGCTTTTAAAAATACTTAAAGTATTAAAAGTAAAAGTACTTGCTGAATATATTACCTAATGCAATGGTCTACAATATCATTAAGTGTGCCTACCGTATGTAGTTTTCTGTAATACATTAATAGTGTTGAGTCATTTTAATGAACAATGCTGCAGATAGTACATGTTTTTATTGTGTTTACTCTGTGACACAGTTCACACTTGGACTTTTGATTCTGTGTCAGAATTTCAGGGATGACCTGCAGAGTTAAATGTCATTAAGCAAAATAAGAAAGAGGAATGATTATACCTTTGAAAGTTTCTATTTAACACAAAGAAAAAACTGTGTCATTTTAACTGAAATAAACACATTAAAGTAAACGTTGTCTGCCTGAACAAAAGGAGCATTAGACACAACTGACAAAGGAACAGGCTCTGATCATTTCAACTCCAGTTTGTCATCAACTAGTAAAAAAACTGTCTATTCAACCTTATAATGGGTCAGTAGTGAACAGTATTTTAACTTCCTGACACCATTTTCAAAACTTGGACCTGAATGACGAGACATTTGGAGACATCTCTTGTCTCCTAACATCCATGAACTGACACATTTTAATATTGCAGCAAGAATTTCTTGTTCAAGTTCAGAAGAAGTTGGTTTTCAAAGATTTTTGAGTCCAGTCTGGTTCTTTTGGGAGAGAGAGCCTGTCCTGCTGTACTGAACAGTCTTTCAATAATCTTTCAATAAGGTCATGGGTGGTGTGTATCTTCTGGCTGACTCTCCATGATGGAATCCATTTTGGGTGTGTTAGTGGCTCTGTGGGTGCGCCCAGCTCATTGACGTATATACTAGAATATACATAATTGGCCCAACTCTTCTTGAAGGCGAGTTTAACGTTATCTGCGACACTTTGCATTGATTCAATGGACCAACTCCCCTCTCGCCATTGGTTACTTTCAAACTAACGAACAAATAAAAAAACTGCAACGTGAATGTAACGTGTAACGCAACACACTACAGAAATGTAGTGTAGTAGAAAGTACAGATACTTAATGTAAAATGTAGTGGAGTAAAAGTCGAAAGTACCCATTTTAACTCTATTTAAGTAAAGTACAGAAACATGAAAAATGTACTTAAGTACAGTAGCAACGTACTTGTACTTCATTACATCCCACCACTGCCAACCCTATGATCAGCTGAATACAACAGTGATAAACAGGAAGTACCACATGTTCGTCTGTACAAAGGCAACTGAAAGTAAATCCTCCATCCTGTCATAACTACATTGTTTTTAGTTTTTATTTAACCTTTTTTATACAGGTAGTCTCACTGAGTCGTGAGGACTCATTGTCAAGAGAGACCAATATGTTTGTTGGTTAAATTAAAGGTTAATGATTAAAGCTAGTTGTGCTTTGTTTTGTGTGTTTTGTATGTAGATATATGTTGCATCTTATGGTTGTATAAGTTTAGTCTTTGCTTGCTGTGATCCTTTAAAAGTCCTATTTGTGACTGAGCTCCTCGTTTACTGACATACCACCCTGAACACGCCCGATCTCGTCTGATGTTGTAAACTGAGCAGGGTCAGGTCTGGTTAGTGCTTGGATGGGAGACCGCCATACTTCTGGTAGGTGCTGTAGGATTGCCTGATCAAAAATGACACCAAGGTTTTAACATTAGAACTAGAGACCAGAGGAAGTGAAAAACTGCTAAATTAATTAATAAGATGTTCGAGTCCAAAAACCACATCCTCTGTCTTATTTGAGTTTCAAAGCAGAAAATTAAAGGTCATTCAGGATTTTATGTCTTTAAGACATGCTTATGGTGTTTCTGGGTACTTCCTGTGAGGACTGGCTAATCAAACACTGGTTTTTGAAATAACATAGCCCTGACTGGCAACCTTTCGACATTTGGAGTGCCTTTGAACAACCTTAGGAACCACCTATG